TAATAATAATAATAATAATAATAATAATAAACGTTGCCATGAAACAGATAGATTTGTAATTAAACAGTCTAACAATAATTTTGTTTTACAATTTAAGAAGTAATTATAGTTATGAAGATACAATCAAAAGAACTCAGGTCAGAAAGGACAGTAAAATGTAAGGCCATGAAAATATGAAAAGAGAATTGGGAGAATTTTAGGTGAAATAGAAAAAAACAAATCTATTGCAAATGGAGGACATAATTAGAAGGTGTGCAAAGGAGAATGGACACAGCAAGACAGCACAGTGTGGGACAGGGAAGATAAAAATAACAAATGCAATTAAAAAGAAACGTATGTGAAGGAGATGATAAAAAGGTTAGAGTAGAAACAATAGAAATAAAAGATAGCAGAAGTTGCCAGAACCGGTTTGGCTCAGTGGATAGAGCATCAGCCTGCAAACTGAAAGGTCCCAGGTTCAAATCCGGTCAAGGGCATGTACCTTGGTTGTGGGCACATCCCCAGTAGTGGGTGTGCAAGAGGCAACTGGTCGATGTTTCTCTCTCATCGATGTTTCTAACTCTCTATTTCTCTCCTTTCCTCTCTGTAAAAAATCAATAAAATATATTTTTTAAGAAAGAAAAATGTAAATAATGCCAAAACCGGTTTGGCTCAGTGGATAGAGCATCAGCCTGCAAACTGAAAGGTCCCAGGTTCAAATCCGGTCAAGGGCATGTACCTTGGTTGTGGGCACATCCCCAGTAGTGGGTGTGCAAGAGGCAACTGGTCGATGTTTCTCTCTCATCGATGTTTCTAACTCTCTATTTCTCTCCTTTCCTCTCTGTAAAAACTCAATAAAATATATTTTTTAAGAAAGAAAAATGTAAATAATGCCAAAACCGGTTTGGCTCAGTGGATAGAGCATCAGCCTGCAAACTGAAAGGTCCCAGGTTCAAATCCGGTCAAGGGCATGTACCTTGGTTGTGGGCACATCCCCAGTAGTGGGTGTGCAAGAGGCAACTGGTCGATGTTTCTCTCTCATCGATGTTTCTAACTCTCTATTTCTCTCCTTTCCTCTCTGTAAAAACTCAATAAAATATATTTTTTAAGAAAGAAAAATGTAAATAATGCCAAAACCGGTTTGGCTCAGTGGATAGAGCATCAGCCTGCAAACTGAAAGGTCCCAGGTTCAAATCCGGTCAAGGGCATGTACCTTGGTTGTGGGCACATCCCCAGTAGTGGGTGTGCAAGAGGCAACTGGTCGATGTTTCTCTCTCATCGATGTTTCTAACTCTCTATTTCTCTCCTTTCCTCTCTGTAAAAACTCAATAAAATATATTTTTTAAGAAAGAAAAATGTAAATAATGCCAAAACCGGTTTGGCTCAGTGGATAGAGCATCAGCCTGCAAACTGAAAGGTCCCAGGTTCAAATCCGGTCAAGGGCATGTACCTTGGTTGTGGGCACATCCCCAGTAGTGGGTGTGCAAGAGGCAACTGGTCGATGTTTCTCTCTCATCGATGTTTCTAACTCTCTATTTCTCTCCTTTCCTCTCTGTAAAAACTCAATAAAATATATTTTTTAAGAAAGAAAAATGTAAATAATGCCAAAACCGGTTTGGCTCAGTGGATAGAGCATCAGCCTGCAAACTGAAAGGTCCCAGGTTCAAATCCGGTCAAGGGCATGTACCTTGGTTGTGGGCACATCCCCAGTAGTGGGTGTGCAAGAGGCAACTGGTCGATGTTTCTCTCTCATCGATGTTTCTAACTCTCTATTTCTCTCCTTTCCTCTCTGTAAAAACTCAATAAAATATATTTTTTAAAAAAGAAAAATGTAAATAATAATGATATGGCAATAGTTTATTCTTCCTATCAAATAGGGAACAATCCAAACATTTTTCCATAGGCTTTGTTCCTGTAGCTCTGGGGGAAAATAGGGATTTTTTTCATATATTACTGAGGAAGTATAAAAATATAACAATATTTATAGAGGGCAATGTAGCAAACTCTATCAATTAATCTCACAGATATATTGCATAGATACCCTGCACATGTTCAAAATGCTGCATTATAAGGCAACCTATTATTTACTCTTTTTGTAAATAGCAAAATATTCAAGGATACACAATTAGGTAACTAAATAAACTCTGTCAAATGGAATACTATACAGCTGTGGATAAAGAATGAGGAGGCTCACTAAGTATTGATATGGAAAGATCTCTTATGGTACATTGCTAAATTTTTTAAAAGGCAAGGTCCAAACATATAGATTGTCTATAGTTTGTGCAAGAAGGAAGGAACAATAAGGATATGTTGCGTGTGCTACTCTTTCTACATTTTCTGGGAGGATGCAAGGCAAGTAGGATCACCTCTGGCAGGTTTGTACCTGGATGTGACTGGTATGGACAGGGTCAAAGATGGGAGGAGACTTTTCACTATATATACTTATATTTTTTGGATTGTTACCATGTGAAATTACCTCTAAAATGTGACAGTAATGTCATAATCAGGAACTGATCTATTTATGTTCTATGATCAAAGTCATTCTTATCATATCTGTTGAGCTAGCTTATTCTCTTATTAAATGTCTCTAGCATGGCATGATTTTGTTAGCTCTTAATGTAGTGGGGTACTTTTAAAACTGCAGGAATTTATTTACAAGTCCCAGTGGGCTGGTAATTTCCAATAATATCCTGTTTTCACATTTCCTAAAATGCAGCTGTGACAAAGATCCACAGACCACGGTCATTGAAAATGGTAGAAGCCAGCAGGGCCGGTTCTCCTTTGAAGTGTTCCGATTTGTGAAACACAAGAATCAGAAAATGTCCACCGTCTTCCTGCACTGCGTTACCAAGCTCTGCAGAGCTGATGACTGCCCCTTCCTTATGCCAGTATGTTTCTGAGCAACTTTAGTCTAAATTGTCAAATTGATCTAAGCTGAAAAGTTATCAAGTGCTCACTGATTTCTATAGTGAGAGTGGGTGTGCATCAGGTCAAACTGTTTGCGGTAGGATTTATTCATTCATCCAGTGGAGATCTATTGAACGCCGACTTCGTGCCAAGCATTGTACTGGGAATACAGAGATGCATGCATGAATTCTGAACTCAGTGAGCTTATCCTTTAGGAGCAGGAAATAGTGATGAAATGAAACAAGAGAAAAATGTTATGGCACAAGGCAGATGTAGATATGGGCTGTAGTAAGAGGCAGTGCCCATCATTGT